AGGCTCTCGTAGCCGCGCCTAGCGCCTGGCAGGTAGGCAACATCTGGCCTGCGGTGCATGCGTGTACCGCGGGGTGGCCTACCCAGAGTCTCGCAGGCGCCCAACTCACGTTGATTTGCCGAACAAGCCGAGAATAAACGACGTACTTTCTGGACGATCCCTCACACATGCTCTGCGGAATCGGTCTGCAGGACAGCGGTGCTGTCTCCACGAGCAAGGAGCTGGCCTCTGACCACCTACCTGGAGGCAGTCTCTCCCCCCCCCCCCCTCTCTCTCTCTCCCTTCTCGCACAACTTTTAATCAATCTCGACGCAACCACATTATACTACATTCGTGCATGACATCACACGACGGCGAGCTTGTAGCCGGTCGACATGCCGTCGTCGTGAGCGAGCGGTAGTAATTTGTAGAACTGGACAAGCGCGGCGGGGCAGGGCGGGGCGACGCGAACTTGCGCCCCGCGCTCGAGACGAGAAAGCGAGACACGCACCCACCCGGACAGTTTTACATTTTTTTTCTTCTTCTTGTCCTCCGCACCCGCGGCGCGACGGCGTCGGCATAACCGTAACAGCAGCAGCAGGTGCCATTGTGGCGGTGACGGCCGTGCTCGTGGTGAATGCGACCGCCGCCGCCCTGGCCTACCCCACGCCACGCAACGCTCCGCAACAACCCCCCCCCTCCCCCTAAAGGCCTTGGCGCGCCCCGCCCAGCTAAAGGCACCGACGGTACCCTTCGCCGAATCCTTGAGGACGCGTGGGGGCTGATATCACGCCAGAGACAAACCTGAGAGATAATCGCGTTTCGCGTTAAAAAGGGCGTAAGTTCACGGACTTTGCATTGGACTTACGCCCTTTTTCTCTTTCACCAGTGGTTTATTTGAGGCCGTCGTCTTGGCGTTCCTTTTCATTAACCATGCCGGGGACAACCATGCTATGGTGATTGGGTTTATCGCTCGCCTATTCTTGGTTCCTGCCCTCCTACCCGTGAGTAGTTTTTCTCTTTTTTAAAAAACATTTTCACTCTTCCTTAATTTCTCTTTACGCTGTTGAGATGTTAGTATTGCGCCTTGCCGTAGCAGTGATGTTTGTGCATTAGGTAAAAGGTTCGCCGGCCAACCAGCCTTGCGTGGCAGTAGCAGTGTTACCGTGCTGCATGGCACAACTACTCCTCTGCCCCACCCAATTGACCGCCCAATTTGTCCTCGCTCTTCCATATTCATTGCTTATACTCCACGGGGCGCACGGGACACGGTAAGTGGCGGTCTCCTCCCCTCCGCTCTCCGCGGAAGGCTTGTTATCGTCCGATTGCCGTCAAATTTGTATCAGTGTGTGCGTGTGTGGGTTAGTGTGTGAGAGAGCGAGAGTGTGTGAGAGAGGATCGCATAGTGACCAGGGCGGGATCGTCTGGATCCCACGCGCGCGGCCGCGGATCCCACAGAGAAAGTCGTAGGCCGTCTCGGTCCCGCCGGTGGCCGCCGCTGCTGGCCGCGCGCCGGTCCCGCACCGGCCCAGTCGTGTCCGGATCATATGCACCGCTCGCGGGATGTGCCCGTCAGCAGCGCCGCGCCGGCCGGCCTGACGCGACCGACCGGAGGAAAGTCGATTACGTGTCGGCATCCTCCTGCCATCCACCAGGCGCGCGCGGCGATCGCTCGAAAAAAAAAAAAAAAAAAACGGTGAAGAAGAGAGGTCGACGGTCGGCCGTGCGCCATATAGAGAGGGTCCGCGATCACTCACAGACACACACACACACACACATACACACAACCCTCAGGGCGAAACGAACCGACAAAGGACGGCCGACACACGTCAAGTCGGGGGCGATGGGGCAATCGGCGAGCTTTACGTCGTTCACAAGATTCGCACCCTTCACCACGGCCAGGACCACCACGTTACAGCGAAAACTGGGTCGCTAATATCGGAATCACCGCATACGACGTCACCCTCCCGTGTAAATAAATCCTCTAATATCGCGTTACTACCCAGCTTCGCGCCTCTCACCTCGTCACTCTAAATAGTGCGGTACACTGTATCACTTTAAAGCCCCGCTTCGCTTCGGCCACTATGGCACTACTGCACGACGGCACTGTCTGAAACCCACTTCATCCCCCACCCCGCGTCACTCTACCCACGCTTCACTCCACCCCTCGTTGCCTCCCTACCCCGCTTCACCATAACTGCGCGTCGTCGCCGCGTGATACAATTAAGTCCCACCGAGCGCCGCGTCACGGCACCCAATCTGCCCTGAAGCCAGGCCGAGTGAGGAAGGAGCTCTGTCTCTTTCTCTTTGTCTCCCTCTCTCTCTCTCTCTCTCGCTCTCTCTCCCCCTCTCTCTCCCTCTCTCTCCCTATCTCTCTCTCTCTATGTCTCTCTCTGTCTCCCTCTGTCTCTCTCTGTCTCTCTCTGTCTCTTTCTCCTTCTCTCTTTGCCTGCAGCCCCTTACTGCTGTAACTAGGTAATCCACCAGTGACTGCACGCGCACGCACTTGTTCGACGGTGACGGCGCGCACCTCGGGCGTCAACCGTAAAAATAAATAACGAAATAATGAAAACGTTTAGTTCACCTGACCCAGTTCCCGCTCCGGGTACACGGCGTAAAACTAAAAAAGAGCTGTTTCCAGTTTGGAAGTCCCCCTTTTTCACCTCCGACGGGTAACAAAACAATAAGAGCAACAGAATGGAGGGAAGGGGTAGGGTGGAGTGAGACGGGAGATTCGGCGGCAGAGAGCGATGCCGTGCAGTGAGCCTGCATTGACTGCATTGCGGGAGCGCTTGTCGTTTTTGTTTTTTTGTGAAACCTCAGGAGAAGTGAGACAATGAGCAGCCGAATAACGTGTTTCGGCCGATGGCGTCATGCCGCGTAAGTCAGATCAACCGGGGCAACCGAGTGACCGCCCCCGCCTCTCCCCTGCCCCCCACCTGACCTGCATCGGGTCCAATGCCGTGGGTCGGTCGGGTGGCCGGCATAGCGGCGAACTGGTCCAGATCTGAATGGGCAAAGCGAGTCTGACCCGGTGGCGGCGGGGCGTGGTCCGGGACAGGTACGGCCCGGTAAGCGCTCTCCTGTGCGGGGCTGCTCCGGGCCCACCCGCCGCCCCCGCCCTCTGCCCTGGTTCACACAGCTCCAGTTCTTTTTAACGCTGAAAAGCCGGCCGGCCGCGCAGCGTGCTCTGCCGTACGGAGCCAATCATCTCTCTCTCTCTCCCCGCGCCGCTGTTGCCCCAGGTCGGGGTCTCTGGCTGCGGGCTCCCCCCCCCCCCTCCAACCTCTCCTCCCACGAGAGGCGAGCGCGGCGAGCACGCCAGGTTATCTCAGACGAATAACGAGATGATGCCCGGTCAGCTGAGCAGCAGCGTGAGCCGCCTATTTGCACGGCGCGTCGTGCCGCTCATGAGCGCCTCATGAGCTTCCGAGAAAGTAAAGTGCAGCAGCCATGAGCCTCGGGCGCGGCACGGCGGCGCGGCGGCGTGGCAGCGGGCCAGAACTAATTATTAGAGGGGGGCATCGCCTCGCCGCGCGCGCCCACCATAGCGTCTGGACCAGCAGCAGCGACTGGATGCTCGCGCGCTCGCGTCAGCTGATGTAAGGGCGCCGGGCTTGCATCACGGCTGATAAATAGAGTGCAGGACGAATCGGACCGGTACACACAACAGATCGGACCGGATCGGAAGCCTCCGCGGGGCCTAACAACAACACTCGAAACTGTCGAAATATAGCAGACAGGGAGCTCATTTGGGGCAACCCAACTTGCTTTTCGAATGGGAAAGAAATCACGAGAACTGTGATGTGGACTAGTCTCCCTGGATCTCCCCCACCACACCACCCTCCCTGTCGGCACAGTATAACCTTGTTGATGGCAGGCAACTTGGTCATCCGATGGCACGACTGGTCGTAGGCTTGTGTCGGCGGTACAGTCTACCTAAGCCGGCGCTGCTGGCACCCACCAACCACTCTCCACCACTACCCCCACTAGCAACACCGTAACGATATTACCATACAGTCTCGCGTAGCATAGCCGCGTCAGGCAACTTGATCATTCCATGGCCCGACTGGCCATAGGTCTGTGTCGGCGGTACAGTCTACCTTTGCCGGGGCTGCTGGCGCCCACCACCCTCCACGAGCACCACCACCACTACCCCCCACTCGCACCCGCTCGCACCACCGTAACGACATTCCCATACAGTCTCGCCCCTCCGTGTCCCTCCCCATTGTTCCTCTGATTGGCGTCGCCCTGCTCATTCCGTATGTCTCGCTGCATTCCGGAGTAATAAGGACGCTGTTGTTGTTGTTCTGTCCGGGTCGTGTCGCACACACTCGGGGCAGGGCGGGCGGCGGCCGTGCGCAGAGGACCCGGGCGCCGCTAGAATGGAGTGCGGGGAATGACGCTACGCCGCCCCCCGTCCTCCGCCTCGCGCCGCCACGCCACGCCAGAGAAAGCTGGGTGCCCCCCCGCGTGATGTAAGAGCGGATCGGCTGCTGTCCTTTATTTCCCTCCACTCATGCGTTGTTGTCATGCCCCGCAACTCCACGCCACGCACACACACACGCACAATAAACAGACGGGCGCATGCTCGGACGACCTCTTTTGTTGAGAAATAAACACGTTGACGAACGGGCTCTATGTTTGCAGGACGTGGCTGATGGTGTTGCTGCTGGTGGGCGCGGCGTGCGCCGAGGGCCAGAAGAAGGCCGCCGAGGCCGAGAAGGCGGTGGCCTCGGAGGCCGCGGCCATGAGCGGCGAGGACGACGACGACGGCGGCGAGGGCGAGGCGGTGCACACGGCCGAGAGCAGGCCACTGCAGCCGCTTCCGGTTCTGCTGCAGCAGCAACAGCAGCAACAGCAGCAACAGCAGCAACAGCAGCAGCAGCAGCAGGTGGCCGAGGACCGACTAGACGACCGGGATAAGAGGCAGCTCCCCGGGCAGCAGCAGTACCTGCAGCGCCTGCCCAACCTCGGCGGCGCTCCTCCCCAGGTAAGCTCCCCGGTACCGTGCCGGGCATCCCCGCGGCCCCCTCCCCGCCCGGCCTGTAGGCTACCTGTCCGGCACGCGAGCCGCGTGGCCTGCCGAGCCAAAAGGCTGCCGGCGCGGCCGGTACGCGGCGCGAGAGACGCTCGAGGGGTACTTTACTAAAAGAAAAATCAGTGTACACCCTACAAAACATTCTGAAAAAGAACAACTGAAAAATTTAAAAAAGGAAATCAGAAAAAATGAATCAAGGACAGAAAAATCATCGGTGTACGCTTGAATTAAAAGTAAAGGACCCCTCCCTTCAATCAAAGGCCGTCCTTCCCGCAGGGCTTCCGCTCGGCGCCCGTCCGCGAGCGCGACTATGAGGGCTTCCAGCCGTCCAACGCGCTGTCCTCCACCGCGTCTCCCGTGCACCTGGTGCGCCAGTCCACCCAGCCCCAGCCCGTGCAGGTCACGTACCGCGCCACCCCGTCGCCGCAGCTCATCTCTGGCCTGCCGCAGGGGCTGCAGGGCGTGCCCCAGGGCCTGGGCCAGCAGTACCGCAGCACGGCGCTGCCCAGCCCCACGCCCTCCGCCGCGCCACTGCAGCGCCGGCCCGCCCAGCAGCAGGTCTACAGCCGGCCGCAGCCCTCGCGCCAGCAGTACGCCGACCTCCAGCAGGTGTCTGTGAGTAAACTCGCAATTTTTCATGAACGCATCGAACAATTTTCGAAGCTGTTTATAGTTTTAAAACCCTCTTCTAAGTAATGAAATTTTTAAAATCACTATTTTCGAGGGTGTATCGGAATTATTACAGAGTGCAAACATGTAGGTAGAATGCTACATTAACATATGTTCGTACAAAGAACCAAGAAAACCAAAACCTGCACTAAGCGTTTCTGTCGTCTTCTTGGAAAACCCTGAAACACCCCTCGAAGTGCTCACCACTCGTGCGCCTTTTCGGCCTGGCTGACCTAATTTCCTTGCAGGAGGAGGCCACCTCCGAGGAGCTGGAGCCCGAAAAGGAGGAGCCCGACCGCCTGACCGAGCTGCTGCCGCACTCCAAGTTCGCGTGCCAGGGCCGCGGCACCGGCTACTACGCCGACGAGGGCCTGTCCTGCGAGGTGTTCCACTACTGCCAGGACGGCGCGCGCCACTCGTGGATCTGCCCGGAGGGCTTCACCTTCCACCAGGTGCACCTCATCTGCATGCCGCCCAGCAACGAGAACATCTGCACCAAGTCGTCGTCCTTCTTCTTCGTCAACGACTACCTGTACCGGCCCATCAACGAGGAGGAGGTGCAGCGTAAGCCCAACGTGTCCCTGCGGTACTCGGACCGGTACTACCCCCAGAACTACTACGACGAGGAGGGCCTGAACCAGCCCCAGCAGCAGCAGTACCAGCAGCAGAGCCAGCACCAGTACCAGCAGCAGAGCCAGCACGTGCCCCAGCGCGTGCCCCTGCAGCAGGGCCTGCCCCAGCGCCGCGTGGCCGCCGCACCCGCGCCCTCGCAGCAGCAGCAGCAGCAGCAGGTGCAGTACCAGTCCACCGCGCGGCCCGCACCCGCCGCCATCCAGCTGCAGCCCTCCTACAGGCAGGCCAGCCCCAACAACCAGGTCAGAGATAAATCTTTTTCCACTCGCTGCAACGCGCGCCCCCGTGACGCCTGCTGCGTTGACGTTTTCACCACCACCCACGTTTTCCTCTCTCGCAGGTGTTCCACTCCCCCGAGGAGGTCAACATCCCCCTGCAGCTGAGGAGACCGACCGCCACGACGGCGAGGAGCTTCCAGCCCACCGCGGCCCCGGCCTCCGACGAGTACGAGGACGACGAGCCCGTGTACCGGCAGGGATAGGAGAGGAGGGGCCAAAGACTTTGAGCTGCGAGGAGTAAGCGTGAATTTAAATGTGGAAATGTTAGTCCGGTCGCGCGGAGAACGGAGCTCCGCCTGCATCACCCACCTCACCAGGACGCAGGGCAGGACGCGACGCGTGTGTGAGAGTGTGCCTGTCTTATGATGTTGCATTCGGTTAGTGTACTTTGGACTTAAGTTATTGTTTTCTCGTAAAGTCACAATGACGACTGCTCAAACAACATGAATGTGACACGGCCTCTGCGGCTTTAAATTATTTTTATACGTGTGTATGTGTGTGCGTGCGTTTGGGTGTTCTTAATTTGAAAAATTCTTGCAATGTGGTTCGCCCTGGGGAGATGGATGCATTTTATTGGCAGCCGTTTATACCCAGAGCGGCTGCGTTCTCTTCGGCCTGTGTTGGTGAGTTATTTATATAAATGATGTGAGACTGTTGTGCTGTGTGCATGTGTGTGCGTGTAGAGAACCCTTTTTTGTAAAAAGAGTGATGATCCTATATTTTGTAAGATAAACCATAAATAAAAACACGACGACTGTTTTCAATGCGCCTCTTGATTTCGCTTTCGTACGCCTAAACAATGTGGGGTTAGTTGTTTTAAAACAGAAGCGGATACAGGCAACCCTAGATCGGACGAGGAAGAGGTATTTGTCTTGTAAGTTTTGCTTATTTGTTTTTAGCGCTGAAGACCATTCTATTACGTCAGCATTTTGTGGTGGTGGGACATGAAAAACCCAACTTCCGACGGGTTATACTATACTTAAGGAACGTTGGGCAGTCGCGTACAGTCCACGTAGCAATGTCCGGCGGGCGGCGGCGGCGCAGGGCGCAGTGCATCGCGTCCTTTCGTAGGTGCCCGTCATCAACTTCAGAGCTCCTCCTGGAGCATCTGGGAACTGCGTGACTCTCGCGGAGAGGCCGCCGTTATCTTAGTCGGAATGACATCATTGCCATGACGGGACTTAAAATACCGCACTAGTGTGTGGTACTTGAGGACCAGACGTTATTCCACCTTGACAAAGTCTACATCGTACAAGTCATAGGAAGAAGTGGCATAGACGGTCGTTGAGCGTTGACCCAGTCCTGGTGCAGGCGGCGTCTCTGCTGATGACGGGGCGAACCTACCCCGCCTGCCGATGGTGGGCAATATGCCGCTTTGCGCAAGTGCCGGCGGGAGGCGGGCCGGCCGGCCGACCACCTTTAAGTGGTGGTGAAAACGAAAATGGATATAAAAGAAACACGCAACGCGGGGACCCAACGACCCTGTGTACCGCGGGTCTGATCTCAATTAGGTAGCAGTGCCTCTGGAACGCGCTGCGGCCGGCGGGCAGGTGGTGTGGTGGTGGCCGAGGCCGGGCCGACCTGACGCACACACTGCGGCATTCCCTGCGGCCACTCCAGTGCTGTGTGACGGCCGGGTCACAACTGCTACTACACTACTTACTTAAATAGAACACCGTGTGTTCGACACCACCCTGAGGGGTGGTACGAACAGCAGCAGAACGCCCTCGTGCTGTTTCGTGCACACGATGGCAAAGAAAAAAAAAATAGGCGCATAGGATAATTGAATGGATGCATTCCCAACCGAGCTTGAGCTGGCCTTAAATTCCTGACAAGTGGGCTGATGTGCTCTGTTATTGGGCTCCTTCGAGATTAAAGCGTCAGCCGGTGGATTACTGCAGCGGGGTCGTAAAACGCACAATGGAATGGCGTAGTCCTTAACTGATTATTACCCGATTACGTAGCAATTGCCGGGACATCGCCAGCAGTTTAAAGTAAAAGGGTGGGGGCGTAGAGCCAAAAAAAGCACGTGTCTCACAGTAACATTTCATCGACGGTTTTAATTTTCTGTAGACCGGATCGCAAAACAGGAACATTCTGCTGATGTACAGCAGTATTGTAGCTGGAGCGTATGGGCGGCTGGGCCGTCGTAAACAGGGTCAGAGACAAGGTCAGGAGAGGCGGCCCCTCGTCTGTCCATACACCACACCTGACCTGTTTGGTAGCGAAAAATGAAGAGGGGGGGGGTGCAACGAAACATTGTGGTTGACAGCAAATTATTGAAAAAGTCGTTCTGCAAGGAAAATTGCGTGTTTTAATGTAGTTAGTGTAGTAGAACTTTACGAATGCAGCACCCGAAAGTCGAAAGTGTCATCTGCCCGTAGTCCGGAAAAAATCCTAACACATTTTGCATTATTCCTATTCCCGGGAGAAAATGTTAACTGAGGCAGGGCTGAGGTCACATTGCTATTACCTGAGTGCATCTGAGTTAAAACGCGATTAGCTCGCAATTGCTGATTCAGCCATGTTCAGCTCTAAAAATGCTGTGCTGGGGACCACTCTGAGCTAACAATTAAGTGATGGCTTTGTGCACATGTTTTCAGTATTTGCCAGCATCGAATACAGGAGCTGAGATTTGGTGACAAAAATTGACGTAGCCATTGCCTCGTACTTCATCTATACTCAGGCACAGATATCTAACTTCTAACTAACAACACGCTCTCAGTATTTGTCACTCATTCTCGGTCCGCTGCCCACTACTGACGAATACCGATAGCACGCCCAGACATTCTTCAGCTAATTGTCAGGTGAGAACACTCTTCGGCTCAGTTAAAATCAGAGCTGAAAATTACCGAAAATAGCTGAATTAGCAAAATCTCGGCAATGTGTGCGTCGACTCAGCTTTTGTAGTTGTATCGTACCCCATGTGGGCGTGAGTGCTCTGCAAATCTAACTGTAGAACAGTTTTACCTTCGATACTTTTAGTCCGCCAGTTTTAACTCCGAGACTGTCTGCAAGTTTAAACTGCTAGACTATGTGCAGTACGCCAGTTTAAACTATGAGATGTGAGACCCCAAGACTTTCCTGGCAGTCTCACAGTTTAACCTGGCAGATAAAAAAGTTTCGCAGTTTAAACTGGCAGACTAAAGTCTCGCAGTTAAAACTGATATCTCTTGTTCTACAGTTAGATTTGCAGAGTGCGGATTTGCCTATTACGGTATCGAAAAGAAAATAAGTCAGTTTTTCCCAGATTTATTTAGCAAATTAGAAGAGCTGAGCGCCTGCGATACCTAGGGTAGGCCACACCGCAGGACACGCCTGCACTGCAGGCAAGATGTTGCCTACCTACCAGGCGCCATGTGAGCTCGGAAACGCTGTGTGAACTAGGCAGATTCGTAACGGCGAATGACCGACGCGTACTTATTGGGTGATTTCTGGATGATTATGGCTCCGACCGAGTAGGCAACCAGCCAGACTGCACGTCTGCGGTGCGGAATAAGTACACCCGTACTCGGCTGCGGCCAGAGAGTTCTCACCAGAACTAAGTGTAAAAATGAAGACAGACAGTATGGTGTTAGAACAAGTCAGAGTTTAATCCATTACTAAACTATCCGTAAATCGGAATAAATCCCTTTGATCCAATTCCAAGATGATGACGCTGTTTAAGACCCAAGCTGGCGTCATCTTTCTCCTAGCTGTCATATCATAACGCCTGCAGTATCTAGCGGTCCGAAGAGGGAGGAGGGCGTGCATGGCGAGGGGGTGGGGAGAGAGGGGAGAGGGACGGAGGAAGGGGGCGATGGAGGGGGGTCGACCCCGACCCCTCGCGAAGTATCGCTACCAACTCACACATTTTCGCGCGTCTCGATAAACGGCCCGCTGAACACGACGAGTGAGGTGCTCCCGCACCAGCACGCCGCGCTACCTTGTCACCTCGCCGCTCCGCACTCGCGCCCCGCCGAGCTCGTCAGTCAGTCGTTGACTCGGCAGCGTACCGCGCGGGAGTGCATGCCAACCCGGGTGTCGAGAGCGTCTCAGGTACAACCAGTGTTAATCGCTTAGTTTCGCCGTATTCCCCATACCTTTCACTTTTCGACCACACGAATAATAGCCTGGAAGTCAGCGATCGCACGCCAATTTCCACTGCTTCATTAACTAATTGTAATGATTTTTATTACATATTCATTATGTAAAAAATTGGCAATACCATAGACCAGTACTTTTAAAAAAGCCGGTTTGTTCGTCTGCATTACATATATTTTGTATCGTTTCCATCCCGTTTCACGAAGTTTTGTTCTTGACCTGCTGACGACAGTCGTTTGAGTGGATTTTAATGATCACGAAAACGCACTTGACAGTCAGGCGTGAACGCTGATAAAAGTCGCGTGAAAATAAAAGGGGAATATAAAATGGAAGACTTCTGAGTTAAGAAGTGGCTACCTTGATTTTTGTTCTTAAAAAAACAAAAAAAACTAATACAATTATGAGCTTAATCTAATGACCCACTTATATATAAAGTAACCAGCGTGCTCGCGTTATCTGTGGAGCAAATTAATGCGAGGAGTTGCGTTCAGCATCTTGGGTGCGTCAGATGAGCAGTTTTCCGCGAATGGGTCACTTTCGTGTCCATACGCTCTATTTCATCAAAATTTCGAATCTTAACCGATCTGGGCGATTTTTTTTCTATCTCTGCGTCGTCATACTAACTAAACAGAAAACGAATGTTACTTTGACAGTAGTAAAGTCATCCCCTCAAAAGATATTTGAACGGAAAGGGTCGAAAATGTGAGATCCGTAACCATTTTGCATGTCCACAACTCCCGATTTAGAACTTAAACTTCTCTGTACGCCGAAAGGGGATATGCAAACTGATTTCCGCAGGTGGTCTCGAGTTCCACACACATAAGGGGATGTTCTCACCCTTGGCTCGTTTTCAGAAAGTCAAAGATGTCTTTACACGAGTGGCTCAAAAAATGCCCTTCATTGGAAAGGTAACAAAATTCATAAAGCCAGTTTTTGCCACTTTTCTACCGCTAAACACAACATTCGACTACCACGAAACTTCCCATAGATAGAGTTATGTCTCCTTTTCCAGACGACGCTTCAAACGCAGGTGAGTCTTGTCTGGTTCGCTGGCTAGACTGACGAGGACCCCTAAAAACTATTGCGTATTTCGATAAGGTTCAAACGGGGTTGTGTCCGTGTTGTGAACCTGACCTAAAATACGTCTTGCCCTTGCCGATCGGTCGTCTCGTTCGTCTAAAATGTCAGATTTTACAAGATTTTGTAAGATCCGTAACCAGTAAGATCCGTAACCATTATAAGGATCCCTTATGGGGCTTTTAGGGTAATTTTGTAATTTATGAGTGGGAGCTCGGATCTTCAAAATCTTGTATCTAGGGACTGTAGTAAGCAACATACCATAAGGAAAACTCGATAAAACAATACTTTTTTTCTCGACCTGATGTCAAAAGTGACCCATTCGCAGAGAACTGCTCTGATAGGCTTTCCATTCCAGGGAAGGACCGCCCCTTATCTTTGCCGTGAAGCTTTATTCCCATCAAACGATCCGCTAGTCCTTAAACTATCCGACCATTATCATATCCTAGAGGATCGATGTTTTCGAGAAGCAAAGTAACAAACGGTTCTGTTCTCAGACAAGATGAAGAAAAAAGTGCATGATGGCAAAGATGGCTTCGAGCCCTCGGCAACACTCGAAATACCGCCACTACAATCTTCTAAGTAAGTGACAAAAGTTAGTTACATTGACTTAAGTGCCAGCTAAGAGTAAAAGTGTTGCTCTTATGAAAGAACCTTGGTCTAGAGTAGGTTTCAATAATTGCCGTTTAGTCCTTGCCATGTATTTACAATCAGTTTTCTCCACAATGCCATTAGAAAAAGAAGCTAATTGCTCATAACGTTGCTTTTTTCGCTTTCTAGGATCAATCTCGTGTACCCTGCACCAGAGGATGAGTTATACGACCCATTTAGCCAGCGGCCTCAGACACTTCAATACTCGTGAGTACAACCCCTTCGAAAACTGCGCGGTGGATGGGGTAAAAAACACGTTTGATCTCAAATAACTCATCTCTACAGGGACTTCGGCGCGTGGGCGCACATGGTCAAGGGTGGCATGGGCACCGGGATCATGGCCATGCCGATGGCCTTCAAGTACGGCGGCTTCGTCCTGGGGCTGATCGGCACCCCGGTGGTCGGGCTGGTGGCCGTGCACTGCGTCTGCCTGCTGGTGGCCACGGCGCAGCACCTGTACGTGCGCGCGCGCGTCCCGTCCATGACCATGCCCGAGGTGGCCTACTACTCCTTCAAGTGCGGGCCGTCGTACCTGCGCCGATACGCGGTCTACGCCAGGTAAATGCTGGGAGAGAGGTTGGGACACGCGGTCATCGCCAGGTAACTGCTTACTACTTGTAAGGGGGCATAACTGCTCAACACTTGTAAGTGTGCAATACTGCAAGTTATATAGTTGCAAGTAGTGATCATCTCGGTAGCTGGGCACTTGTTTGTAAGTGTGCGGCTCTTCTCTGTCGAACACTTCCTACACAGCAAGCGTTTGATGTAAGGCATTGTTCAACATGGGAGTTGCACACTTGCAAGTGGTGAGCAGCTTACGGACTTGAATCCTTGCAAGTATCCCCTCAACTCCGTAGTTGCACACGTACAAGTGTTGAGCAGCTGCACACTTGCAAGTGTCGAGCTGTTGCACACTTGCAAGTGTCGAGCTATTGCACACTCGGTTTATCAGTGCGTCCTTGCGACGTGCCTTGGCCGCACGCGGGACTTTTCCACGCTTGGTAATGACATGCGGCCGGTGACCCAGCTCGCTGCTGGACGCAGTCGCACACGCCGCCTGGTGCGCGTCCTTCCGTCGCGGCGGCGTCCTCGCGACGCGCGGTGCAACGACAGTCGGAGGAGGCGGAACTGAATTATATTTGCGTCTGTCGCATCGGGCCCGCGCCGTCCGGCCGGGGGTCGTCTGCTCCTCCAAGTGTCCTGTCCATACCACCCCGCGCGGTACCGACCCAAGGAGGACCGGACGGGTCCGGAGCGGCGCGCGTCGCCCGATTTATAGCGCCCGTGTATGTTTGACACACTTTTCACCTTCCTTCCGCAGGATCTTCGTGCAGCTGGTCCTCTTCCTCACGTACTTTTTCACCATCATCTCGTACAGCATCTTCATCGGGGCGGCGCTTCAGCAGGTCGGTGAAAAGCAATTAATCTGATGCATCTCATCAATAACAAAACAAATCATAATAATAACTAATTACTGCTGTCGATAAGTGACAACGAGTCATACAGTCTTTTAAGTTCGTTGAATGTCCAAAGGAGAAAGGGCCAATCAACCTTTTTCGAACCTTTAATTATTGTTACGCTGTAAAATCTAATTTAGGGATCGTGTATTGATAAGGTACGGAGTCCTCATATGGATGACGCTCATTATTTGCCATGAAACTCAGAGATTTAGGCCGCCACGCATGCTTATATTATCCCTGCCTTATCAGAGTTACCGAGTAAGGTTTGCAGGACAGCCGAGCCTTCCTCTCCCAAGGCGGCGGCACCTTTTGTCACCCATGCTGCTCGAGCAGTACGGCGCGCAGGCCGCTCCTTCGCTCCTCATGCCCGGAATTTTTTCTAATTGGAGCCCAAAGAGTTTGGGATTGCCGCCGCCCGCCCCAGATAAGCGAAGACCTCTTTTCGTAATCCGACGGCACCCAACGGCACTCCCACGCAAACTGGCGCGTGTCCGGTGTAGCAAAATGTGTTCTAAAATTGCACCTTTTTTTTTCGGATATGCAAACAAAACAGTTATTTGAGCATAACAAACTTTACCGAAACAGCTTGGCTCTTTTTCTTAGTAAACTTGTCATTTAACTGGCAACTTTTTATTGCACTTCCAGCAAAATGCATTCGCTGTTACTGCGAACATTTTGCTAAACCAGCAAAACGACCCATTGTTCGTTTGGTGCGGTGAGAATCAGAGAGGGCACCATAGGAACACAAAACTGTCGGAAATAGTGTATTTTTTTCGATCGGCCAATAATTGTGACGATAACGAAAATCCAATAGTGATGGATTTTCCACAGTCAGACGATAGTCGCCGGTGTATCAAATTTAAACTATCTACCCATTCTGTCGTATTTCTATCGATTCCTGTTCGAATCCAAATCAGCGTTTTTTCGCTTCCATTACGATAGCTGCCCGAGAAAGATTTTTGTTCCGAGGAAAAAAGACATTATAGTTTTGGAATAATTTTTTTCATTTGTTATATCGCACCAATAGTTCGTATCCTTTTTTTTCTACTGTTTGTCCGACGGTCGTACGACACTTCTGTGCTACTAGGGGGCATAGAGTGCGGAAGTACATCACTTTCTGAGATGCAACTGAACTGCCATTCGGGGGCGTGTGTCCGCGACGGTGACAGGACGTTAAACGGCGCTCGAGAATCTGCTCGCCGTCATCAGCAGCAGCCATAAATCACCCCCGGTATCGTTTTACGATACTGTTTGCGCTTTAATCGCTTGGCGCAGCGCACCGCGGGCGCCGCCTCCTCCTTCCTTTGGGCCCGACTGCCGCTCAACACTTGTCGCGGGAGTCACTCACGAATACTTTACTCTGCCAAACGATTATGCATCTCTCTCTCTCTCTCCCCTTTATCAAACACCGGAGCCGCGCTGACGTTTCTGTGTGATTGTGGAGCCGCGGGAGAGATAACACAAAGCCCGGCGGAGCAATTTAGTCTAACGCTTTGTTACCTTCACTCTCCGCACAGCCC